TAGAAACTACATTGACAATTAAAAAACGATTGAGGAACCAAAATGACGATTTTCCCTTATTTATTTCTTGTTTCAACTCCTGTTTAGGAATCCAACTCCCATAATTTTTACAAATAATGTATAATATGAAGGGCGAATGGGAATTATAGAAGAAAAAAATGAATATAATGTTTAATATATATATTTTTAAATTCTCAATCAAACTAAACGATGAAATTACTATGATATATGTATATATTTCTATTATTATCATATGTTTTTTTTTTTTACTACAAAATCAATAATCACAATAAGAATGTTTATTATATATGTTAATTACCAAGTGGCTTGTAGTCCACTGTATCGGGTTGTTCTCCTAAGTAGGAGGTGTAAGGTTTGAACCTCAGTTGAGACAAATAGTGTGTATATATAGGATAGGATATCCGGGACGTTATGCCATGGAACTGTGTTCACCATGATTGGTGAACACGGTTCCAACGGTGTTAGTACACCGTTATTTTTTTTTTTCTTAATTAATTGCGTGACTTTTCTTCTTTATTTTCACATTTTGCGGTTTCACTTTAATTTGAGGTGAACAAAGATTTCGGACATTCATAAATTATGAATTCATGCCTACACATTCACTTTGGAACCATGCCTACACATTCCCGTCCGAAATCACGGACATTCATAAATTATGAATCCATGCCTGCACATTCACTTTGGAACCATGCCTACACATTCACTTTGGAACCATGAGATTATGAATTTTCTGTTATGAGATTATGAATTTTCAGTTATGAGATTATGAATTTTCAGTTATGAGATTATGAATTTTCTGTTATGCGATTATGAATTTTCTGTTATGAGATTATGAATTTTCATTACATTCATAATTTCGGACATTCATAAATTATGAATTCATGCCTGCACATTCACTTTGGAACCATGCCTACATATTCCCGTCCGAAATCACGGACATTCATAAATTATGAATCCATGCCTGCACATTCACTTTGGAACCATGCCTACACATTCACTTTGGAACCATGAGATTATGAATTTTCTGTTATAAGATTATGAATTTTCTGTTATGAGATTATGAATTTTCAGTTGTGAGATTATGAATTTTCTGTTATGCGATTATGAATTTTCTATTATGAGATTATGAATTTTCATAAAATTCATAATCTCATAACAGAAAATTCATAATTTGATCAAACGCGCGTCGTTAACTCCACATCCGCGATTTTTTTTTTTTTTTTTTTGCCTAAAAACGACGTCGTTTTGCCTTGTGTTCACCATTCTCGGTAAACACGATTTCATGGCATAATTTGCGAGGATATCCCCTTCCTTATAATAATAAAAAAAAAAGTTATATATGTTAATTATGTTTGCTTAATTTTACAATTTCTTTCTAATAATCACAAGATTTAATCCTTTCTACCACTAACTCATTTGCCTTGTCAAATTAAAAGTCCAAAATTAAATAACTTTGAAATTCTCTCAACATCTTAACTTCACAGTTTTGGTTCATATCCCTTAGGAAATTCAAATATATGCATTATTTTAGAAAGAAAAAAAAAAAAACCGAAATTTTGAAAGTATGTTAATGTGATACTCTTAATAAAATTGTTTATTCCATCTCAAAAAGTCATTTTAAACTATATTTAAAAAGCATACGTTTTTTTTTTAGTGGGCCAACTCGACCCACAAATCACATGTTTTTTGTTAGACAGTAGTTGATATCTGAACTAGGATATCTGATTTCACTTTTATTTAGGATTTCTTGACATTTTTTTTTTCACAATCAACTCCTCCCTCTACTTTAATCACCAATATTCACTTTTCTTTCTCTATTTTCACTTTCAACCCACACTACTTCTTAATCGCCGGCCTTTATTTATTTTTTCACTTGACCATTTTTAGATACCAAATCTCCACGCATATACTTCAAGTTGTCATTTTCAATTTGTTTCCGACATCTTTTCTCCAAGCATCGTTTTCTGAGCATACAGTCCTAAGGTAGTCATACTTTCTATTCTTCTCATTTTAGAAATATGCGTTCTTACTTGTTTTACTACATTTGATTGATATAAGATATAGAGTTATAATGTTCTTGATTTCTTATGCTACATGCTCACTTATTTAGAGATTTACTATGTATCTAGTATGTGTGAAAATTATATATTTTTTTATTTTAATATATTATTCATTTTAATAATATCATTCCTTTGTAATAGATTGATTCTTGGTTGCTCAATTAACATTTCTACAAATTTTAGAAATGTCAAAGACATCTATTTGCTATTTTGTGTGGATATATAAATTAAAGACGATGTAGATTGGTCACCAAGGATAATAGATCATATCTAATAATTTTAGATTGGTATGAAATAAAGTTGATCTATATATATGGTATAGATTTAATAGAAAATATGAAATTGAAGTATAAATTAAGATTCTTTTTTTTTTTTTTTAATTGTGGGATTGACCCATTCCATACTGGAACAGGTGACAAAGAACAAAATAAGTTACCAAACTCTAACCGAGCTTGCTCCAAACGCATCTGCTGCTAGGAGCTTATCCAGACTGTTCGTAAAACGATCAATTTATTCGATTCTACTTTGGGTGAGCATTAATTTCTTCATTAATTTTTTTTTTTTTGTGTGTGGGTGTCTGTGCGTGTGTGTGTGTGTGTGTGTGTGTGTGTGTGTGTGTGTGTGTGTATATATATATATATATATATATATATATATATATATATATATATATATATATTATATAGAGAGAGAGCGAGAGAGAGAGACGAGTTCAGGTGCGGTCGCGCCTTCCCGTGCGGTCAATGCGGCCGCACCAATAGTTATACAAATATACACCATCCATGTTAAGAAATGCACAACAAAAACAATGCACAAATTAAGTACGCATCACCAAAAATGCACCATTAGGTATGAATAAAAGCACCACACAGAAAATACACAATTAGGGTGTGGGGAGTTATGGTGCATATTTTTTGGTGTGTTGCGTGTTTTAACATCTATTAACATCTTAACTTCAAAGATTTGATTCATATGATGCAAATCCGGCCACTATGTTGCAATCGTGATACTTAGCAATTTCAAACACCTGCATATTAGGAAAAGAAGAAATTTTTGAAAATGAGCTAATGTAATACTATCAATAAAATTGTTTATCATATCTCAAAAACTCATTTTGAACTTTAATTAAAAAATATTTTGAAAGCATATATTTTATTTAGTGGAGCCACTAAATTTTGACCATTTTTGGATGCCAAACCTCCAAACCGATTTTTCAAGTACTCATTTTCAATTCATTTTCGACATTTATTTTCTCCAAACATCAATTTTTGACCATACACTCCTAAGGTAGTCATCACTTTCTATTCTTTTTATTTTATAAATATGTATTCTTACTTGTTTTACTGCATTTGATTGATATATGATATAATGTTACAACATTCTTAATTTCCTATGCTAACTACTCACATATTTAGAGATCTACTATATATCTAGTATGTGTGACAATTATAGAATTTTAAAATATTATTTATTTTAATAATTGCTTTCCTTTGCAATAGATTGATTCTTTCTTGCTCAATTAACATTGCTACAATCTATTTGATAATTTATATTGATAAAGATGTAGATTCGTCACCATGGATATGATAATAGATCAAATCTAATAATTTTAGATTGGTAAGTAATAAAGTTGATCTATATATGGTATAGATTTAATAGAAAGTATTAAATTGAAGTATAAATTAAACTTGTGTGTGAAAGCATGACCAATTTATTCACTATATATTCTATGTGTTTAGGTGCATAACTTTGTAGAATGTATTGAAATATTGAAAACATAAATCTAATCTAAATAAATATGTAAATAGACCTAGATTTTTTTATATCTTTTTTTTTTTCAAAAATTATTGTATATCGTGCAATTGACGTGTCTGTTTGTTTGTTGTTGATTTTTTATTTTTATTTTACTTTTTTTGTTAAAACAATGTTGTTTGTATATTTATGTCCATACTTTTAAAAGCTTTTCCCAATTATTAATTATTTTAATTTAAAACAAAAATAACTCTATAATTTTGTTTACCTTTCAAACTACTGAAACACATAGGGTCAATAATGTATCCACTAAGGTTCAAACTCACAATCTCTTATGTGAAAATTCAACTTGATACCATTGGACCATAAAGTCCTTGGTTAGGGTGTCTTTTTATTTCTCTCATCTCTTCATCTTTTTTCTTTTTTCTTTTCTTTTCTTATATAATTTTTTTACATTTGCTTAGCGTTACAACATATTTATTTTTTCCTACTTTGCTTCAAATTTTAAAAATGTCAAAGACAATTAATACTAAGTTGAGTGGATAAAGATCATTATGTTAAATTGTAAAATAGATTTAATAATTTTCTATTTTATGATATAAAGCTATATAAAATTGTTTGTCATCTTCATCTTAGCAAATTCATACATCTGTATATTAGGAAAAAAAAAAGAAGTCAATTTCGAACTCTAATTAAGAAATATTTTAAAAGCATATGTTTTATTTAGTGGGGCCACTAAACCCCACAAATTAAATGTTTTGTTTTAGATCCTTCTAGGCTTCTAAACCCGACGCTAGTTGTTATCTATTTTATCTTTTATTTCGAGATTTCTTGACATTCCTTTTCTTTCACAATCAATTCCTCCCTCTACTTTACTTCCCAATATTCATTTTCCTTTCTCTATTTTCACTTTCATCCCACACTACTTCTCGATTGCAAGCCTGCATTAGTTTTTATTTTTGACTATTTTTAGATACCAGATCTCCACGCCTATACTTCAAGTAGTCATTTTCAATCCGTTTTTTACATCTTCCTCAACCCGTGACGGGTCCTTCCGTATGGGTCGGGCTGACCCGTTTTGACAGCTATACTTGGAAGAAACTATGAGACTTTAATAGTTATTTGGGTTGAATGATTTCTACTTGAATAGATTTTCACAATTATTTCTATATATGTTCCTTCTCCCATTCCAAATGTTTTCCATTTTACGACATGTATATTTAATATAAAAAGTGTTTTTCGTTTGCATTTGGCAGTGAATTGAAAGAGCTCTTGCAATTGCAAAGATTCCAGAGATGTCAAACTCATCCGACTCAGATTACGTGGTAAATGTAAGAATAAAAAATATTAAAATTTTACTCTTATAGCACTATCACCCTTTTAGCACGGCCCATGCACGTGCACATACAATTAATATTTTACTCCTACAAATTCAATTATAAATAAAAAATGACATGTTTTAGAAGCAATATATATTAAGATTTATTATTTCTCTAAAAATATGTCTTTTATATTGTGTAGGAAGAAGAATACAAGGAAGATGATGAAGAAGTTGACAAGGTAATACCTAGATGGATGCAACCCTTCCTCCAAGCATCCTACTTCACTTCTTGTCAAGAACACCATGATTTAGAAAAGAGCGGACTGAATAAATTCTGCGTGACATGTATTGCACCTATATGCAAGCATTGCATTGAAACAAAGGTCCATGAACAACATGACTTGCTAACAATTTATCATCATTCGCGCAAGGATGTCGTTCCATTGGAACAAATCAAGAACCATATCCGTTGTTCCCAAATTCAGGTATAATTTAATGTTTTTCCTATGTATGTAGGAGAGGATTTAGACGATATAATATACTAATTGTCACATGCACTAAGTTTTGTCCATATAGTTGCTTCAATTCATGTATGTGCAGAATATGTGCGACCAGCGTGCACGAGATTAATTAGCTCAGTGATTTAGTAGGTAGTATTTTAGAGAAGAATATGTGAATTTTGTGTAACATTGAAGTCGAATTGAGTGGTTGAATTGTAGGTATACAAATGCAACAGACAATGGGTTGTGGCACTTCATCTACCCGAAAGCAATGAAGCTGGAGGATCATCAAGATCACAACATAATGAGAGTGATGAAATCTGTAAGGCATGCAAGAGAAAACTACACAAACGTGGTGATGGGTATCACTTCTGCTCCATTGCCTGCATGGTATTAAGCAATCAAAATCAGAGTATTTGAATGATAGCTAATTTAACAACATAAATTACAGATTTTCAAGTGTTAATAAACATTATTTTCAGGTAGAAAATGAGAGAGAAGAGGCAGAGATAGAAGCACCGCGTGGTGCAATGATGAGACACAGAAGGAAAGGAATACCTCATAGATCTCCACAGTGATTGATGGATATGTGAAAAGAGTTGCCTTGAATTGCCTTTGTGTTGTCAGATTGGGAGTGTATATAAACTTGAATTTTAGTGTCTTTAAACAAATTTGTAGAGTATAATTAAATTAAGCTGTGTTTGAGCTTTTATCATGTAACTTTTTAGTTGGTTGTTGTGTTTCTAAATTCATTCCTGTCAAAATTTCATTTGTTATTAAAAAAAAAAAAAAAAAAAAACTCTTGTAAGAACATTTTATTAGGTTTACATTCATACATAACGTACCAAGTATTATATGTCATAGAAAAATAATAGTAAACATATATATAGCTTAAATAAAAGAATAATAATAGGCTATTAATTGAAGAGTTAATCAAATCTCGTAATTATGATTTAAAAAATTATCAATCAAACACTAACTATGATTTTGATTCTTATTTCTGAATTCATGAACCAAACACACCCTAATTTGTTCCCTCTCACTCAACATATTCCCGTTCCAACACCGTCAACCCTATTTTTTTTTTCAGTATGCCATAACCATTCCTAGTTCTCTTACCATTCAACTAAGCTTTTATGCTAGAAATTAGAAAGTCCTTGCAAATAATCCGATTTTATTCAGATATATTAAAAAAAATTAAAAAGTCAAAAAATCTTTTTGTATGTATTTTATTACCATAATATTATTTAATCACTCTAAAATATGATAGCAATCTATATATATATATATATATATATATATATATATATATATATATATATATATAGGCTTTGGTTCCCATGAGGTACCTAATTAAAATGAGATCATGAGATCCCATCACTAGCATTCACTCATTTAAATTTGATGGCTTAGATTAAAAGAGATTTAGGAAATAATTTTGGTCAGATTATAAGGATAGGGAGTTTCACGTAATTTTGAATGTGTATTTATTTTTGGGTAGAATATTAATGAATTATTGTGCATAGTAATAGCCAACCTAAGAATGGTAATAACTATTACTGCCATGTGATTACATAGCTACAGCAATTCCAATTAATGTAGTGACCGGGGAAGGAAACGCCGGTGAGGGACTGTGCATGCCGAGCTGAAAGGGTGTAGAAGACGGCGTGGTGGCTTGTGCATTGCGTGTGCAACATTGGGTATGTGGTCCTTAATTGGGTTTTTAAGTTGTTTATTTACATAGTTTGTGCATATGTAAGTTATGGCGTGTGCAATAACTGCGTAATGTGGTCCTTAATTGGTTTTTTAATCTGTTTATCTTCATAGTTTGTGCATTTGTAAGTTATGGCGTGTGCAACAACTGAGTAGTGTGGTCCTTATTTGGGTTTTTAATCTATTTATCTTCATAGTTTGTGCATTTGTAAGTTATGGCGTGTGCAACAACTGAGTAGTGTGGTCCTTAATTGGGTTTTTAATCTATTTATCTTCATAGTTTGTGCATTTGTAAGTTATGGCGTGTGCAACAACTGAGTAGTGTGGTCCTTATTTGGGTTTTTAATCTATTTATCTTCATAGTTTGTGCATTTGTAAGTTATGGCGTGTGCAACAACTGAGTAGTGTGGTCCTTAATTGGGTTTTTAATCTGTTTATCTTCATAGTTTGTGCATTTGTAAGATAAGGCGTGTGCAACAACTAAGTAGTGTGGTCCTTAATTGGGTTTTTAATCTGTTTATCTTCATAGTAGTGTGGTCCTTAATTATTGGTTACCCATGTATACTTGATAGGATGTTGGAAAGACTACTATGACTTTGAGGAATGGATTCTTGAACGTGAGAATAATAACTCTTGTTTGGACAATAAATTACTCTGCAAATAACTGTGTTGTCATTTCATGTAATGCAGAATCTCAGTGTGTAATATCCTCCATGTTCATCAAGTATGAGATGTATTAGTTGTAATTAATAAATAATATGTTTTCCTAACAGCAAAAACAAGAATGGAAATGACTGAAAAATATTTGTGGTCTTTGATAAAGAAGCTTGAAAGCTATTCAAGAAAATCCACTGGCTTCAAAGCTACCTGGACTATTTGTCTATTTCAGATGAGTGTTGTTGAGAAGTGGAACCAACACATTGTTTTTCCTACCAACTAATCTCAATGTTTCTTCCTGCTCTCCACATCCCACTTCTATATAAGCTTGCCCAGATATAACCCAGACCATAATCCAAGCTGAAATAGAAACAAAACATCTTCACCACCAAGAATGGCTCATCATCTCAACCCATCCTTTCTCCTGCTTTTCTTGATCTCTCTGTCACCGGCGCTCGAGTCCAGAGACCTTCTGGAGATGACATTGCCAAAGCCTGAGCTGCCAGAAATTCCAAAACCAGAGTTACCAACATTCCCAAATCCTGAAATCCCAAAACTAGAGCTTCCAACATTACCAAAGCTTGAAATCCCAGAAATCCCAAAAAAAAAAGAAAAAAAAAAAAAAAAAAAAAAAAAACAAGAACGAAACCCTAACCCCGTCGGGCGACTCGCACACGCCGCTACACGCAGTCGCACACCCCGAATTAAACCAAATTTGACATAATATACTTAAAATTAAAATAGAAAAATGATTTTGCTTATAGTTCATACTTTTACGTTTTACATTTTCAATTATCTATGTGCTTATGCTCCACAGATAGGGCTTCCGAGAATTATTCGCCAATATCTATGATATTCTGTTGCCCATTACATCAAGGATTGATAACCTTCCATTGAACGAATTTCACAAGGATGTAATTACTAGTACTGACTAATAACATATTCTACTTAAAGCAAAGAAAAACAAATGCAGCGAGCATTTTCTACTTAAAGCAATTAGAATGAACATAGACAACAAAATGTGCAATACTAAAATTGTAATTTGATGGGGATTTCTTTTCCTCAAAATATGGACCTTTAGTTACGGTTGAAGAACATCACCCACAATAATGAATGGCAGATCATCATTTCCCTTAAAAGCAATTAGCCTGAACATAGAAATGATATAATATAAAATGTGAAAAACTAAAATTGTACTAAATTCAAAATCACCAAAGAATTTCAAACATGGTTATGGAAGAACAAATTTCAACATAAAGAATGGTAGTGAAAGGATACATTAACCTACAATACTAATATGATTAATATGAAAATGCAGTGAGCTACGAATTTAAGAAAACATGAATATGCCTAGCACAAACCAAAAATCAACAGAACTGTGTTCATATGTACACCCATAATTCAAAACACACTAATCACAAAACGCGCACATACCCGCCTAATAAAAACAGACTCGTAATAAAACCCAGTATATTAAAATTAAAAAAAAAAAAAAAAAAAAAAAAAAAAAAAAAAAAAACTAAGAACCTTGGAGACAAACCCTACCGTGGTTCTCAAACAATGGAGCACTGCCGCCCACCGCCGACGCCATACTACGACCTCCGGCGGCCTCCACAAAACTCTGGCGAACGGCGAGTGCCCACCGGAAACCAAGCCTACCCGCCACACTAAACCCATCGTGAGATCATGCGAAACCACCCCATCGTCGATCATGCAAACTCCAAGACCCGAACAGCAACAAAAATGCAGAAAAATACCTTCAACAACACTTGAAGCAGCACTCCTTCAACGCTTAGACAGCCCACAGGAGGAAGTGTTGCAGTATACTAGGCAACGACTTCGTATCTCTGCGAATTCACCGTGAAAACCGATAGAAGATGCGACCTTTGCGTATACAATAACACATAATGAATAAGGAAAAGAAAACCTAACATATTTAGACTCGGAGAAACAATTGATGAAATTATAAAATTACCTTGTTACCCCTAATTATATTGAATAATAGCCATTTACAAAACAAATATCCTAGAAATCTAAACCCTTCAAATATAGAAATGGATGCTCATGATCGAACCTCACCGGATCTCATTTTAATTAGGTACCTCACCTGATCCAAAATCTATATATATATACATATATATATATATATAGCAATATACTGATGGAAAACAATATATATAGCAAATACCAATGAGATTATATTTGACTTATTTTAGCATTATTTTACAACAATGTTTCCTTTTATGCACATGAAACGATGGAAAAACATTAAAAGAACAATTTCAGTTATTGTAATTTGAATATATAATTAATGAATATAATTGTACAGTGGGAAAGTAAAAATATTATTTCATTTTATTAATTTTTTGTTTCAAATAAAAAGTCGGGAAGTAAAATTACTAACATTATTATGTTATGATAATTTATAGATGTTTTATAAATACCAAATTTCGGACAGAAGGTTTCAGTTAGCGTAATAAAAATATCTATATTTATTAATATTATAATATATATGTTCTTTAAAAAATTGAAAAAAATGTTATATTCAAAAATATTAATTTAAATGGAGTTCTAGTACATGTACTCCCTAATCTTATTCCATAAATTTTACTCCCTGATGTGATGAATTCTTATAAGTTATTTTTTTAGAAAAAATGACACGTTTTCTCCCGAGTTATATGCTTATAGCACTTTTCTCCCTAAGTTATTCATGCATCCACATTTGGCCCCTCAATTATTATAAAAGTGTCGATTTTTTCCCTTGATATATTAAATGGACATTTCTACCCTTAAAATAAATATTTTATTTATATCTCTTCTTCAACAAATTATTGCTTATACGTAGGGACGACCATGGTTCGGTTCAAACTGAACCGGACACTATAGCAATCAAATCGAAATTTTTTTGTTATGATTTAGAACCAGAACTCAATATTTGGGTTTTCGTTTATTAAAATCGTGAACTGGAAAAAATGGATCCTGAACTGTGAACCGGAGGTTTAAATTGGAACAACTACTAGCATTAGCTTAAAATTAGAATTATAATATTTGTAAATAGTGTATGTTTTTTTTCGCATTTATACTGTCTCTCACATATAAGTATATATAACTGCAATTTGGTTTTTATTTTGAACATTCCGGTTCACGGTTTTGGATCCAATTTGAACTGCTAGTTCAAACTTTCTTTTAAATTTTTATTATTTTTTTATTTTTAAAATATTCTAAATCAACAATTAATATATTTTATTTTTTTCAATTCAGAACATGAACTGGTAGCTTCGATTCGCAATTTTAATAAACTCTAATTATCGAGTTCCGGTTCTAAATTGTCATCTTAACTTTTCTGTTTGATTGCTATAGTGTCTATACGGTTTGAACCAAATCGTGGTTATAATTTGTTAGAGAAAAAAAATGAAATATTTATTTTAAGGGTAGATATGTCTGTTTAACATATCAGGGGGGAAATTGCTATAAATATATAACACAAGGGGGAAAAAGTGTCATTTTCTCTTTTATTTTTTTTATTTTTTTTATTTTTTTATGTAGGTCATGATACAAGTGTTTACATCAAGGTTTTGCGTGTAGGAGTACACATTAGAAATACGAAATGGGAGTACATGTAGCATTTTCCTTAATTTAAATGCTCTCTAACCACTGCCAATGTTGATTGAATCCTGGATGCTAACAAATACTGTGACTATTAATATAGAAAAATGTTAATTGCCTGTGCATCTAACATTCATAAATTTATGATTTATGATTCTCCTCCTCGCAAATGCTCTGTCGGGTCGGAGTGTGGGGGACCCTTAGGATTGGGGTTCAGCCTTTTGGAAGAATGATCTATGATTCTCGAATTTGACAAATTTTAATAGGTTTATTTTCATTTTTTATCTTTTTTATTTCACACCACACAAATTTTTGAGTGGTAGATGTGAGTCATCTAGCATTGTCCATTAAAAAAAACGTACAAAAAGTTCTAATATTTGTTAAAAATAATTTTTTAGTATCTTGAGGAATAATATTAAAACTATCTTATATATTTAATAATTGACTTTAACAATATTTATAATTTCACCCTTTAAAAAATCCTTTTAAATAAGATTTAACATTTTAACTCACATTAAAAAAAAAAAAAAAAACAGTTTAACTCACATTAAAAAAAAAAAAAAACATTTTAGCTCACATTAATTATAGCATACATAAGTTAACATTTGTTCAGATACTCACCAAATTAAACAACGTGAGTGAGAGAATATGAAATTAAATACTTAATGCTATCTGGGATCCTCCAAACATAGTGATTTTGCTACGTTTAGTCCTAAATTTTTAGATTACTTATGGTCCTTCGACTTTCAAATTGTTACCATTCGTGATCCAAGTTAACCATCTATGGTTCTTCAACTATCAAATTTTAACCAGCAATGTTCCTTCTAGGAGGACCAAGGTTAGTTAACTTTGTAAAGTTGAAGAATAATGGGTGATTATTTCGATCATAGATGGTAACAATTTAAATGTCGAAGGACTACGAATAGTTAATTTGAAAATTTAGGACTAAACGCGACAAAATCACAATATTCGAATGATCTCATATAACATTAACTCTGAAATTAAAATATCGTGACAGAGATTATATATATGAGAATATTTATTATTTGTTTTTATATGCTAAATAATATAATTAAATAAGTAAAAACCATAAATAATTCTGCATGCGATACTGCTGGTATGGAACAAATAGTAAAGTGGTATTTACTTCATGTGCTGTAAAGACAAAATGGATAAAATCCGCTATCTGTAGCACATTGGAATTCTGCCCCTGGTTTTGGAACCTTTGACTCATCGAACGTTATTATAATATTATATATATAACCCCACTCCTAATTACAATTATATTACAACAATTAACATACTATATTCCCTTTTTTTTTTTTTTGGTGAGAATGCAGGAGTTCCAGGCGGGCATTAACTGATTCTTTTAAACCTAGCACCATTGACATTGGTCGAAAGGAGTCCCAAGATGTCTTCAGGAAGAGCCTTTAATACAGTTGTACTTGTATCTTTAGTCTGACCAAAATTTACCAGAAAATCAACATATTTATTACCTGCTCTCGTCACATGAAGATTTTTCGGGAGTTATTAATGGCAGAAAAGCTGTCTTGAATGAAGAGAAAATTTTTGGGAAATCTGTTGATTATATATATATATCTAAGAAAACAAGGGTTAAAAATAGTGTATATTTTGGAGAAAAGCTAGAGTTGACAAGAGAGAAATGGCGAACATGGTTCAAAGATTGTACGAGACATGCAAGGATGTTTTTAAAAATGGCGAAAGTGGTTATGTTCCACCTCCGGCCGACATCCAACGGTTGACGGCAGTTCTAGGTATGAGATTAATTAATTAATTAATTAAGTTTTGCTTTGTTTAATTTCTCTTGCCTATTAATATTAATAATTATGCACGGTCGTATATATAGGAGTTGTTTGATGTGATAATCAGTTTATTAGAATCTGTTTAGAAACATAGAAAATAC